TTTTCTTTTTGCTTATGTGGTGCTGAGGAATCAAACCCAGGGCCTCAGGCATGCAAGACAAGCACTCTACAACTGAGCCACCTTCCCAGCCCTCAACCATGAATATTTTTATGGTCTTTTTTTTTTTTTTTTTTTTTTGCTTCTTCATGGCAATTACCAAGTAAGTAAAGAGAAACCATTGCATTGCAACTACTGGAAACAATAAAAAATTCTTTTTTATTTTTATTTCAAATTCTTTATCGGGATTAAATGATTACATAATTTCCCAAATTTCACCGTATTGAGGGATAGTGATGCTTAAAGTCACAAACACATCCTAACTTTCATGGAGCAAATTGTCTATCGTGGTGTATAACATTTATGAATTCTATGAGCTTTGACAATGCAGTTATTTCTTCCACATCAGGTGATATGTACATTTCTTTTCTTTTGCATAGTGTCAGCTGTTCCCTCTTTCGGACTTGTTCCCTCCCTCGGACTTGTTCCCTCCCTCCCATCACTGCCATTGAGTTGCCTAGTTTGTTTTGATCAATGTCCAGTGCAGCTGATGGGTCCTGCTGTTGTATGTTTTTCCCTGATTCCCTCTAGTTCTGTGTCCTCCTCCTGGTTTCCCTCTGGTGTGCACATATATACCACATATGTGATGAACAGCATGGGTTATTTAGTAGTGATTCGACCAGATGAGTGGAAGTCCTTTGTTTCTTAAGCCTTGTTAACTTTGCCATATCACCTTACCTTTTGGATTTAACATCTACTTATCAGGGAGAACATGTGCCGTTTGTCTCTTTGCTCTTGGTTTACCTCGCTCAACATGATTTCTTCTAGTTCCACCCATTCCCTGAAAATGCTATTATTTTGGCTGCATAATATTCCATTGTGTATAGATACCACAATTTTTGGGTTCATTCATCTTGGTGGGACATCTGGGTTGTTTCCATATCCTGGCTGTTGTGATCAGTGCTTCAATAAACATGAAGATACATGTGTCCTTGTATACTGCTTCCTGTTGTTCAGGATAGATGCCTAGAAGTGGTATGGCTGGGTCATAGGGGAGGTCGATATTTAGCTTTCTGAGGACCCTCCAGACTGCTTTCCAAAGTGGTTGTATAAGTGTACATTCCCAGCAGTGTAATAGGGTTCCTCTTTCTCTGCATCCCTTCCAGCGTTTGTGGTTGGCTGACTTTAGGATGTGGGCCATTCTGACGGGGGTAAGGTAGTATCTCAGGGTTGTCTTTATTTGCATTTTCTTTACAACCAGGGATGATGAACATTTCCTCATGTGTTTCTTTGTCATCTTTATATCTCTTCTTCTGAGAAGTCTCTCTTTAGTTCCCTTGCCCATTTAGTAATTGGTTTGTTAGGTTTGGGAGGGATTAGTTTCTTGAGTTCTCTGCATATATTGGATATTAACCCTTGTCTAATATATTGCTGGTTAATATTTTTTCCCAATTAGTTGGCTGTCTTCCTAGTTTGGTTGCTATTTCTTTAGCTATGCAGAAGCTTTTTTATTTTAAGATAGTCCTATTTACTGAGTCTTTCTCCAATTTGTTGTGACCCTGGGACTCTGTTCAGGAAGTTTGTACCTGTCCCTATAAGTTCAAGTGTCTCTCTTACTCTGTCTTGCAGTAGTTTCAGAGATTCAGGTTTGATGTTAAAGTCTTTAATGCCTTTTGAGTTGATATTGGTGCATGATGATAGACTGGGGTCCACTTTTAGTTTTCTGCATGTGGCCACCCAGTTTTCCCAGCACCAGTAGTTGAAGAGGCTTTGTTTCTTCCACTGTATGTCTTTGTCTCCTTTGTCAAATATCAGCTGACTGTAGGCGGGTAGTTTTATTTCTAGATCTATTCTATTCCATTGGTCTTCAGGTCTATTTTTGTGCCAGTACCAGGCTGTCTTTGTTATTACGGCTCTATAGTAGAGTTTGAAGTCCAGCATCGAGATCCCTCCCATATTGTCTTTTTTGCCTACAGCTGTTTTGGCTATTCTAGGTCTTTTGTTGTTCCATATGAATTTTTGGACTGTTTTCTGTACTTCAGAAATGTATGTCATTGGGATTTTAATTGCATTGAATTTGTATATTAATTTTGGCAGTATGGCCATTTTCACTATATTAAGTCTCCTATCCAAGAGCATGGAAGGACTTTCCATTACCTGGTATCCTCTGTAATTTCTTTCTTTAAGTTTTTATAGTTTTCATTTCTTTTACATCTTTGGTTAGGTTAATTCCTAAATATTTTTTTGGGGGGGGTATTGTGAATGGGGTTGGTTCCTTGATTTCCCTCTCTGCTTGTACATTGTCGGTGTACAGGAAGGCAACTGATTTTTGCGGGTTTATTTTGTATCCTGCTACATTACTGAAGTGGTTTATAAGTTCTAAGAGTTTGGGGATCATGAAGGTATATTATCATGTCATCTGCAAAAAGGGATAGTTTAACTTCTTCCTTCCCTGTGTGGATCCCTTTAATGCCTTTTTCTTGCCTTATTGCCCTGGCTAAGGGTTCCAGGACTATATTGAAGAGGAGTGAAGACAGTGGGCATTCTTGCCTTGTTCCTGATTTTAGGAGAATTGGTTGTAGGTTTTCCCCATTAAGTATAATATTGGCTATTGGTTTGTCATATATGGCTTTTATTGTTTTAAGGAATGTTCCTTCTATTCCTATATTCTCCAGAGCTTTTACCTTGAGTGAATGTTGTATTTTATCAAAAGCCTTTTCTGCGTCAATGAAGATAATCATGTGGCTCTTGACCTTGGCTCTGTTGATGTGTTAGATTACATTTATTGACTTAAGTGTGTTAAACCATCCCTGCATCTCTGGGATGAAGCCTACCTGGTTGTAGTGTATGATTTTTTTTTTTTATGTGTTTCTGGATTCTGTTAGCTAGAATTTTGTTAAGGATTTTTGCATCTGTGTTCATCAGGGAGATTGGTCTGTAATTCTCTTTTTTGGTTGGGTCTTTGCCTGGTTTGGGATGAGTGTGATACTGGCATTATAGAATGAGTTTGGGATAGTTCCCTCTTTTTCTACTTCTCTGAAGAGCTTGAGGAGTATGGGTATTAGTTCTTCTTTAAAGGTCTTATAGAATTCTGTTATGAATCCATCTGGTCATGGGCTTTTCCTTGTTGAAAGACTTCTGATTACTTCCTGTATCTCGTTGTAAAACAAACATTGGCTTATTTAATTGATTTATTTCTTCTTTGCTCAGTTTGGGCAACTTGTATTTCTCTAAAAATGCATCCATTTCTGCTAGGTTTTCTTTCTTTAGAGAGTATAGCTTTTGAGAATCTTTATAATTGTTTGGATGTCTTGGGTATTTGTTGTGATTTTTCCCATGGAATCCCTGATCTTGTTGATTTGGGTTTCCTCTCTTCTTAATTTTGCCACAGGACCATCAATTTTATTTATTTTTTTCAAAAACACCAGCTTTTTGTTTTATTAACTTTATTTATAATTTTCCTATTCTCTATCTTGTTAATTTCCACTCTTAATTTGATTATCTGGCTCCATCTAGTAACTTTAGGTTCCATTTTTTCATGTTTTTCTAGAAGTTTTAATTGCAACATGAGATTATTTACTTGGTCTGTCTCTATTTTCTGATGCGGGCACTGAGGGTGATAAATTTGCTTCTCAGGACTGCTTTTGCTGTGTCCTACAAGTTTCTTTGTGATGTGTATTCATTTTCATTGAATTGTAGGAACTTTTTAATTTCTTCTGTTACATAGGTGTTGCTTAGAAGTGTGCTGTTCAATTTCCATGTATTTGAGCAATTTCCATGTATTTGAGTAATTTCTGCAGTATGTTTTGTTATTGAGAACTAGCTTGATTCCACTGGCCAGATAGGATACAGGGGATTATGTCAATCCCCTAATATTTGCTTAAGTTCCTTGCATGAACTATGATATGGTTTGTTTTGGAGAAAGTTCCATTAGCTGCTGAGAAGAACGTGTACTGTGTCATTTTAGGGTGAAATACTTGGTAGATGTCAGTTAATTCTGCTTGAAGTATGGCCTCACTTAATTCGGTAGCTTCTTTGCCAATCCTCTGGTTGGTAGACCTGTCCTTTGGTGAGAGTAGGGTATTAAAGTCTCCTAGTATTATAGTTTTTGGATCTATTTTATTCTATAAGTTTGAGAATACTTGCTTAACATATTTGTGTGCTCCAATGTTTGGGGAGCATAAGTTGATAATGGTAATATCCTCTTCCTGGATTGTTCCCTGTATTAATATGTAGTGTCCTTCCTTATCTTTTCATATTGGTTTCAATGAAATGTTTATTTTGTCAGATATCAGGATAACTACTCCTTCTTTCTTATTGAGAACATTTCATTGGTAGATCCTTTTCCATCCCTTCACTCTGAGTTTGTTTGTATGTTTGGTTGAGAGGTGAGTCTCCTGAAGGCAACAGATGAATGGGTCATGTTTTCTGATCCAATCTGCAGTTCTTTTTTTTTTTTTTTGATTGGTGAATTAAGTCCGTTAATATTTATGGTTATTATAGAGAGATGCATTGTGGTTCCTGTCATTCCCTGTTTTCCTAAGTTTTTCTTCTTTCCTTTCCTCCTGTGTTTACTAAATTAGACTTCTACTAATACCTGTCTGATGAGGGTCCCCATTCCTGGTTGCTTTCTTCAGGCGGTGTTCCCCCTCTTATTATTCTTTGTAATGCTAACTAATTGTTTAAGAATTCATTTAGTTTTTCTTTACTATTAAAAATTTTAGCTTCTCCATCGAATGTGAATGCTAGCTTTGCTGGATTTATCAGTCTGGGCTGGCAGTTATTGGTTCTCAGGGCTCAGATTGTACTTTCCCAGGCTTCTTGCATTCAGTGTCTGTGTGGAGAGATCTGCAGTGATTCTAATTTTTTCCCCCACTGTAGTATAGCTCCTGCCTCATTTTTGCTGCATGCAAGATTATTTATTATTCAGATCTATCATTTTTAAGATGGGGGACATTTTCATTGGTAATCTTGTTGAATAGGTGTTGCATTCCCTTGCTTTGTTATTCCTTGCCTTCATCCACTCCAATTATACGAAGGTTAAATTTCTTGTCACTATCTGCTTGTTCTTGCATTTCCCTTTGGCATAATTTAAGTGATTTTTCCATATCTGTGACTTTTTGGTCCAGATGGTGCATTCTGTCTTCTGTATCTGACACTCTAAATTCCATTTCATTCACTCTGTTAACTATGGCTTCCATTGTGGTTTGCATGGAGGAAATGGACTCGATGTTGGTTCTCAAAGTACTGATCTCACCTTTTAGTGAGGTGTGTACTGCCTCTATTTTTGTGTACATCTCCTGTTTGAAATCCTGAATCTCTTTTGATAATTTGTTCCTGTGTTCTTTAAATTTCTGATCTATTTCTCACTTTAATTCTTGAGTCATTGCCTTCAGCATCTCTTGGATGTAGCTTTTGTCTTCCATTCCTGCTTTGCTTCCATTGGGGTTCTCCCCTGGGTGGCTGCTGGCTTTTGGGGGTAGCTTGCTATCCTGGGTTAATAAACCTTGTAATTTTTCTCTGTGGTTTTCGCATGGGGATTCAGGGATTATTGGAGACTAATCTGAAATTCTGTTTTGGTCAATAGGTGTCTGTCTTTGCTTGGTTGCTGTTTCTGGGTTGGCTGAGAGAGTCTACCTGGTCTTGGTTCTGTTGGGAGAGAGGCCGACCTCCAGCTGCTAGTCTGACCATGTAGGGCTTTCGGCTGTCTGTGTAGATCACCAGCAGTTCCTGCCTTTAGAAGGACTGAGCAACCTAGACTGCTCCTGTTTACTCCTGTAGGTGCTCTTGGCGAGATCAGGTGTGCTGGATGTACTCTCCCAGTTGCTGGAGTCTGGTATGGGCTCCTGATTTTTTTTTTTTTTTTTTTTTTAGTCATTCGTGGGCCTGAACTCTGAGCCTGGGCGCTGTCCCTAAGCTCTTCAACTCAAGGCTAGCACCCTACCATTTGAGCCACAGCATCACCTCTGGACCTTTCTGCTTATGTGGTGCTGAGGAATCAGACCCAGGGCCTCATTCACACAAGTCAAGCACTCTACCGCAGAGCCACCTTACCAACCTGAGCTCCTGACTATTATCAGATGCTGGCATTCTGAGTTGCCCAATTCCCAGCCTGGGATATACCAGTTGGGTTCTGGTGGGGTTTGAGCTTCTGGTTCTCTTGCCCTGGACACCCAGGTCTGTTGCTGTCATGAGCGTAATTCCCAGGGGGTGCAGTTCCCTGTTTTTCACCCTCTGCTCAGTCTATGCCCAGCATCTGACTTCAATTGGGGAGGAGTTGGTTGTGTTGCTGAGGAACCCGTTCACCAGGGCTGGTCCTGGCTCCAGGTCCCTGGCCTAGGGCATGCCAGTTGGACCTGTGCTAATGTATATCCTGCCAGGGTTACACAGCCTGAAGTACATAGTTCAAGTTTCTTCCCCTGTTGGCTGTTGTGATCCATGGGTGCTGTTCCTGGCTTGGGTGTTTAAGCTCCCTTCCAGGGGCGCTCTTGATCTAGCCTGGCTGGCTGGATGTACTTCACGGGCTGGTGGAACAATTGAACAGTTCCCAGTTTTAGTGGGTCCTGTAGACCAGGTGTTGGGATAGGGGGTCTGGGTCAAGATTTGGGGGTTACCCCCAGCTCTGGTCTCTCTTGAGGAGGGATACGCTGTTCCCTGCAGGGTACTTACCCTGGAGCTAGTTGTTTCTGTGTGATGTAGGTTGCTGGTTGCCGCTGCAGTCAGTGTTCAGTTGAGATGCTTGTGGGCTGGGCCAAGTGGCTCTTTGTCAGTGTTTCTCCTCTGTCTCTGCCTATGTTGATGATGTCCCAGTTGGTGCCACTGGCTGTGTGCTGTGGGCTGGCAGTGCGGGCAAGTGGCACAGCTCAACGCAGGCAATGTGGGCAGGCTGAGTGCTGCGGGCTGGGTTGGCTGGGTTGCGTGATGGGCTGGGCAGGGTGGTGGTGGCTCTGCATCAGTTTCTCCTCTGTCTCTGCCTCTGTTGATGCTATTCGGGTTGGTGCAGGGGGATTGGCAGTGCCCTGGGTGACGTGCAGGCTGGCCTTTGACCGAGGGGTGGGGAAGGGGTCTCTGTGCAGGTTCTGAGCACTGAGGTTTGTTTCAGTTTGTGCTTTCTGGATCAGCACCAGTACCTTGCAGGTCTTCTGTACTGGCATTCTGTGGGAGACCAGTGTACTTCTGGGGTTCCAGCCATGGGGCCGAGTGGCTTTGGCGGGATGGAGCCCCTCTGCTCAGAGAGTGAGGGCTGGATGAGAGGGTCTTCGTTCAGGCTTGCGGCTCTGAGGTTTCTCTGTGTGCCACGATCAGCAGGTCCGACACTGGTACCTCAGGGGTCTTCTGTGCAGGTGATCTGTGATCCGTTGGGCCGGGCTGGCTGCAGCTTGGTGCCTTGCTGCACAGTCAGTAAAGGTTGGGGGAGGGGGTCTTCATGCTTCTCTGTTCTGAAATTCTTCCTTTTCTTTCTTTCTTTCTTTTTTTTTTCTGCCTCCTGTTTTTCTCTGGGTATTCGTCTTTTTGTTGTTGTCTATCTCTTGGGGAAATTAAACATTGGAACTTGAACTCTCTTTTTGGTTGGAGAGAACTGTGGTGTTTCCCTACTGTCCCATTGCCATCTTGGTCCCCCTTAAAAACTGCTTCTTTTAAAATAAGTTTTTCTTATTTGCTGTGGGCTTAATTCATACAAAAAATAAGGATCTATTGGAGAACATATTTGCAGGTCAAGTAACTGATATAGAAATAATATCCAAAATATATAAAGAACTATTTCAACTCAATAGTAAGAATGGGCAAAAAGATCTGAAAAATTATTTCTCTAGAGAAGATATATAATAAAAGGTGTTGGGAAAATGCAAATCAAAACCATGAAATATTATTTTATACTGATGAAGATGGTTATACTCCAAATGATAATAGCTGAAATTGGTTTGTATGTGAAGACATTAAAACCCTTGGGAATATAAAATACTATAGCCACGTTTGAAAACAATCTGGCTGTTTCTTAAATTGTTATGACATTGACATATAACCTAGCAGTTGCTCTTCTGGGTAAAATATAAGAGAATTGAAAACACATTTGTGGTAGTCCAAAGTAGAAATAACACAAATTTCTGCCATGTGATGAATAGATATATAAACAATGCCAAATCTCCATAATTAGATATTATTTGGCTATAAAGAAGTTGAAGTATTAAAATGCTGAAATATGAATAAATGTTAAAAATATTTTAGTTAGTGAAAAAATCCAGACACATTTGAATCAATTTCCATATAATGTCTACAAATGAGAAATCTATATTGTAAAAAAACAACACCTCAATCAGTGTTTGCTGATGCTTGTGGAGGACTGGACATTGAAAGAATGACTTAATTTGCCACAGCTTCTTTGTTAGATGCTGAAAAGGTTCTGAAATTAACAGTGTTGATTTCTTCACCATCATATGAACACACTAAAATGGTTTGTGCACTTTCAAATGGTAAGTTTTAGCACATTAATTAATGTTTAATAAAATAATATAGTCTATTAAATTATTTAAGAAAGTGGATTTTAGGGAAATGCCAAATTCGGTTCATTTTGGGTTCTAAGTTAAGAGTCTTTTGTAACAGTATTATCATCCCTATAATCTACTATAATTTAACATTTTTGAAGTAATATGTTAGGGTTAAGAAAATCTGGATTACTTAGGTTTTTGGTGTAGTATGGCAGCTACTTTTTATATAGACATTCTCTTTTTCCAATGGAAAGAATATAACTCCCAACTTAAGAGAATTCCAAGCTTAAAAAAACAAGTACCATGAAAATGTACCACTCCTTTAAAATGCTGATGCCAGTTTAATCCTAGTATTTGTTGATAATTTCTGTGGAAATAATTTTTTATTTATTTCTAAAAATTTAGATAAAGAGCAAAAAAACAGCCCTACATTCTATACAGTTTCTAAAACTACGGTTTTACTCATGTTAACTCTTGCTAGTAGACTCTCAGTGTGATACTAGAATGGTAACTTCAGAATATTTCACTTCTTTTTTATTATTATTTAGTGCAAGTTATATAATTTTTATAGATTATTTTATTTTATTGTAAAGCTGCTCTACCGAGGGGTTACAGTTACATGAGTAAGGCAATGAGCACTTTACTTGTTGATCATTGTTACTCCTTCCCTTGTTGTTGTCCCCTATGCTTTCCCTCCCCCACCTCCCACATTCCTCCCCCTTCCCCACCCCCACCCGAAGTTTGTTTGTAAAGTTTGTTTCTAATATACTGTCCTGTGGGTATCCTTGTTGCAATGGGTCATCCTATGTCCTTGTTTCAGCATTTTGTTATTCCCCTGGATATTAGGTTCAGGAGTCATTCAGATAAATTCTAAAGCCCCTATTCTGAAAAGAACATCCCTCTAGTATTAATAATTCAGATATAGTCAGTGTTGACACAGAGATACAAATAAAGTATAATAGATAACCCCCAAAGAGAAGAGATTTCTCAATGTTTTTGATTTATTTTATTTTTATTTTATTTTTTTGCCAGTCCTGGGGCTTGAACACAGAGCCTGAGCACTGTCCCTGAGCTTCTTTTGGTCAAGGCTAGCACCCTACCATTTGAGCCAGAGAACCACTTCTGGCTTTTTCTCTTTATGTAGTACTGAGGAATCAAACCTAAGGCATCATGCATGCTAGCCAACCACTCTACCACTAAGCCACATTCCCAGCATGAGATTTGTAGGATATTTAGAGAGGGGTTTTTAAAGAAAATATTATCTACTGCTGTTTTGAAGAATATTTATGGATGTTTATTTTAAATAGTACCAGGATTTGAACTTAAGGCCTTGTAGTTGCTGAGTAGATGCTCTACTTCTTGAGGTTCTTTGCTAGCCCCCTTTTGTGCTGATTATTTCTGAGGTAGGGTCACATATTATGCCTGGACTAGCCTGGGCTGTGATCGCTCTAGTAGTGCTTCTCTTTGTCATTAGGATTACAGATATGTGCCACTGAACCTTTCTGTTGTGCTTCTCTTGTAGCTTGAGAGGACAAACTGCAAACTCAGAAAGACAAAAGTAATTACACTTAATTTGGAAATAGCTCTAAAGGTATAAGTAACAAATTTAAATCGCCATCAAATCTTCAATATTTAGGATACAGAATGATAGGGAGATGATCTAATATAGGGTCATGCTATACCTTCTTTATTTTTTTTAAATTCTGATTTAATACTCTGGAAAAATCCTTGTATTTGTGCTGCTGTTTCTGTAATGGTAATGGCTAAAATCTAAGGAAACTGTACTCCAGAGACTTCATGGTCTCAAGACAAAAGAATCATTGTACTAGATAGAAAAATATTTGAAGACCATAAGTTTGTTACTCTGTTTCCCCTTTCCAGAGCACCTGAAGCTATGAGTTGGTCTTATATCTAATTATTTGTCTTCCACCTGCTTGAAGGAAGGACTTGATAAGCACAAAAATCCAAACTATACTAATCATAGCGAATAACAGATATAATCAAATTGATCTTTAGATCAGCATATAATTACTGCATCCAAATAAGTAAGATACATGAGGTCAAAAATGCTAAAAAAAAATTCACACATAATGCAATGAGAAAAAGAAGTAAGACAAAAAATTATTGGTGGAAATACTGTTCATATCAGAGGTAAAATAGGCCTAACCTGAAGACCTCCATCTAAAGATTGAAAAAAAATACTAAATACAAGAAAAACAGTAAAAATTCAGACTTCAAGGTAAAAAGAAGCCTGGCACCAGTGGCTCACTCATGTAATCCTAGCTTCTCAGAAGGCTGAGATCTGAGGATCAGGATTCAAAGCCAGCCCTGGCAGCAATGTCTGTGAGACTGTTATCTGCAATTAACCACCAGAAGACTGGAAATGGTGCTGTGGCTCAAGTGGTAGAACTCTTGCCTTGAGCTGAAAAGTTCGGGGCCAGCACCGAGGCCCAGAGTTCAAACCCTACGACTGGAAAAAAGAAAGAAAGAGAGAAAGAGAGAGAGAGAGAGAGAGAAAGAGAGAAAGAAAAGAAAAAAAGGTAAAAAGAATCCTTTTTTTTTTTTTTAAATCTCCAGCAAGTGCTCATTTATTTCCTGCTTGCAAGAGTGAAGGGGCCCAAGGATGCCTAGGCTCAGCACAGAAGCTGGTGAGCAGCAGGAGGCCGGCTCTCCCTGCCCTGCTCGGGAAGGGGGGGGGGGGGCAGGGCGAGAGGGGGGGCAGGGCGAGAGACACAACAGTGGACTTTGACATTCATCTCCAAACTATAATAGATCTGCTCTCGATGAACACAGTCCAGGTGATGAGGTCTACTTCCCAACTGCTAGGAAGCCCAGTCAGGCCCCACCCCCAGCCCCAGGAGGCCCCAGGAGGCCATGCTGGCTCTCAGCTAGGCCAGCAGAGCTCACCCCCGCCCTTACTGCATGGTCCAACATGGCTCCCGGCACCGCATGGGCAGGCTCTAGCTTCAGAGGGTAAGGGCAAGGCCAGGAACCCCGGCCCACTGCAGGGTCCTGCCCTGCGACTCCCAGGCCTGGGCTCCGGGCAGGGCGACCTCTCTGCCAGCTCTGAGCTGCTGGGTGTCGGGGTCTCGAAGGCTGCGGCAGCAGGGGCTCGGGTCCTCGCTTGGGCCACAAAGTATTCTCCCTCCTCGGTGTCCTCGTCCTGCTGGCTGCTCTGCAGCAGCAGCTCCAGGTCCGGGCTGGACACCAGGCACTTCGGGGGCTCAGGGCCACCGTCCCCTTGGGACAGACAGACCAGTGATCCGTGCAGCCAGGGTGCATGTCCTCTCCAGGGGACCCGTGTCCCCCCAGAGCTGGTGGCAGGCCGGCAGCCAGGGGAAGGGGGCCGGGCTGCGCAGCAGGGTGGAAGGGCGACCGGAGGCGAAGAGTGTCAGGGAAGGGGGCTGACATGGGAAAGCTGAGGCTTCTGGATGGCAGGGCTTTCAAGGCCACATGCAGGGATATTCCGGAGAGGCAGAAGTTAAGCGGCTGATTTGATCGCCCAGTAGGTGAGCCGCCAGCAACAGGGTGCAGACTTCCTTAAAGATGCCAGCGATGGACAGAGTGAGGCTGGAGGTTCTGGAGACTAGGAGGAACTCAGAGAAGCCCAAACCAAAGGCAAGAATCACGCCAAGGAAGAGGCTCCCAAGCACGCTCAGGAGCAGCCCTGTGTCCTGAAAACGGAAGATTTTCTCAGATGTGGACAAATGGAGACCTTCAAATATGGCAAAGAGAGGGAAGAGCCCCAGAAACATGAGAGGCTGCAGGTGGAACATGGTGTCGATGGGGTTCTGGAGGCCCAGCTCAGCCTTCTGCAGAAGTATCTGGGTGAGGGTCCAGCGGATGCCCCAGATGAATGAAGCCCCCAGCACCAGAGTGAAGCCCTCCACATTGACCTGAGTGGACTTGTAGGTGAACATGAAGAGCCCCCCGGCGATGAGGAGGACCACCAGGACCAGGGCTGCACGCAGCTCCTCCAGCTTGAAGATCAAAGAGAAGATCAAGATGAACAGCACGGCAGAGGATTTGGTCATTGTGTACAGTGACACGGTGATGTAGAGGAAGTTCCAGTTGGACAAGCCCACATCAAGTGCTGTTGCCAGTGCTGTGGGGGCCACTCTCCTGAGGTAGTTAGTCCAGCTCAGCACCACGCAGGCCTTGCGGCAGCCATTTGTTGTAGAAGGTGATGCCGATGGAGAAGCAGTAGTAGAGCAGGACCAGCCCCAGGGTCAACACGAAGGACAGGTCCAGGGCCCACCTCCCCATCGTGGGGGCTGCGGCACCTCAGCTCCAGGGCCGGCGGGGACAGGCACAGCTCTTGGAGGCAGACCACAGCCCGAGCTGGTGCAGCTGGACGGCGACTTTCAAACGCGCTGCAGCCTGGGCCAGCAGAGCCCTCTTCACTGCTATCACTGGGAATGGTGGGTGGAGCCCCAGGCTGGGGCTTCAGCCTACTTGCTCCATGGTTGGCAGGACACAGGGCTCACAGATCCCTAGCTCTGCTGCTGCTCCCCAGAGCTCTGGGCAAGTATCCTCCTGCTGGAAGTAAAAACAGACTTTACAGCTTTGGCCGAGGGATGGGGAGGATGTGCAGGGAGGGGGGGGGAGGGGGAGAGATGGGAAAGGATGGTAGGGGAAACAAAGGAGGAGGCAACAATGCTTGATAAGAAATGTACTCATTACCTTGCTCATGTTATTGTAACCCCTCCGAACGGTATTTTCACAATAATTAAAAAAAGAAAAGAAAAGAAAAAGAAAAAAAGGTAAAAAGAAAATAAGCATAAGCAGTCTAAGAAAAAGTTTACCTTTGAAGTTTTTTTTTTCTCCTCTGAATGTATTACTTTATAAGTTTAAAAAAATTTAAACCCCACAGTAATTTTTTAACATTCCTAGTGACACTGAAATGCTTACTAGATATTGAAAAATTAAAAATTAAGAATTTGGAACATTTATGAACTTTTTCTAAAATCTTACAAAAAAGATGAATCACAAGAAGGAATTCATATGTGTCAAAATAAAGTCTAGTGACAGCCAGGTGACTGAAGCTCATGCTTATAATCCTAGCTGCTTAGAAAACTAAGATCTAGAGGATTGCATGTAGAAGCCAGTCTAAGCAGAAAAGTCTGTAAAACTCTGTCTCCAATTATCCAGCAAAATGCTAGACCAGAGGTATGTCTCAAGTTGTAAGGCCTCAAATATGAACATGAAAGCCAAATGAGAGTTTCAGGCTCTGAGTTCAAGCCCAAGTACTCTCATGAAACAAAAATAGAAATAGAAGTAAAAAAAAAAATTAATTAATAGGTCTAGTATATATGTTAAACATGAACTAGTAAATTAGGAAAAGGAATGTAATATTAAGGTTCTTAAATGGAAGATACCTAATTTGGAAATATGAATTTGATGGTAGTTAAGTGGGATAAAATATTCAGAAAGAGCCATCACTATTGTTCTACAGAACATTGTTATATCTTAAGCAATACAGTATAAGAGCTATTTACATAGCATTTATTTGTATCGTACATTATAAGCAAGAGTTGATTGAAAGTGTGTGGCAGAAGAGGAATATACTATATGTAAATATTAAGTAATTTTGTAAAAGAGATTTGTGTATCTATTACTTTAGTTATTTATAACAGATCCTGAAACTAATCCCACATAGATACAAAGGTAGAATTTTATAGGACTTGATATTGTTTGCAGTGTCAACATCCATTGGGAGTCTTAGAAGAAATCTCTTGTGAATTAATGTAGAAGCTGGGTCATTTATTCTCTAGCTAACTACAACTTAAGTGTTGGAGACTTTGACTTGTGCCACCAAAACTAGAACATGGAAGAAAAATAATATGCATGACTTATGTGTACATAGGAATAAATTTCTATTTGGAATATTAGTTTCTGAGAACTACATCATAGGTACCATGAAGTTACATGTCCATCTTAATTTGCTGTTTCTATTCCTTTATACCACTGCAGAAATATTATCACAGATTTTTTTTTCCTGTGCCATTACATAAGTAGTCTCAATTCTTAAAGGGACTTAAAATCCTAAAGGAAAATATGGAGAAATTTAAGGAAATAATATCTAAAAAAATAAGGAACTACCAATAGAGAGGAAAGAAAGGAAACAGAAAATAAATTCTAAAGCTGAAGAATACAATAGATGAAGTGAAAATTTTATTAGAAGGATTCAGTGACAGATTTGAATAGGAAAAAGAATCAATAAGTTTGAAGAGAGGAAAATGGAAACCATTGAATTTCAAGAATTAAAGTCATTCACTTGGAGAAAACTGAACAGGGGTAAAGGACCTATGAGGCATGCTAAGTAGTACATTGTAGAAATCTCAGAAGGATGAGAAAGGCGAAAAGAATATTAGAAGAATTAATGTTTAATTTTGCTTACATTGATTAAAAACATGAGTATAAATATCCAAGACATAAAACGAACCCCAAATTAAATGTAACAATAGAAAATTGTCACATGCATGGAATCTTCAATAATATTAGTAGATTTCTCAGAAAATTTTGTGGCCAGAATGTCAACAACAAGGTGATAGCTCAGTGATATCTTCTCATATCTTTCATATGGACACAATTAACCGCGTAGTTATTCTCATATCAAACCTCATAGAGAAGAATTAAGGAAGTTAATTTTGGTGGCAGAGTAGATTTGATGGCACCGACATTCCTGAACATGAACATGCCAGCAGTTGCTGTACTCAGTCTGTTTTGATAAATTGTCTTAGTAGATTTTACTCTTCTCAGTTATCTAGTCTTGTGTGTGTGTGTGTGTGTGTGTGTGTGTGTGTGTGTGTGTGTCAGTGTGTGTCAGACTTGGCTATATAACTTGCTTATTTTAGTGAAATGGAAATAAGAGGGGCTTTTTTTTTTGTTACTTTTCAGGAGATGCTTTAAGGCATTCAGTGGTTTTTCCATTACTGTGTCTCTCTTCTACCTTATAGAATGTCCCAAAAAGGAGTTTTTTTACTTTTCTAATTAAGTTCAATAATTAAAATGTCATGAAACAGAATACCTGATTCCTAGCAAACAACAATTTAAGTAAGGATTATACCTGTTTTATAAGCCACTGAAGTTTAGAAGTTGTTTATTATTTATGATAAAGCTGACTCGTACAGAAATCAATAGGAAATTAATGATATTTTAATAAACATGCATACAAAAGATACCTAAGATACATGATATAGACTTTAGAGCTTGCCAGAAGTATTTTTCATAATTCAACTTTTGATGGTATTATACTTGAAGTAACTAGAAAGCAGATAATGTAACAAATGAGTATGTAGCCTCCAGCAGAAATTTGATAAATATTGCCAACATTATTTATTTTATTACTATTGATCTCACTTGATTTGACATTACAATCTGATTGGGTGTTTCAGTCACAATAAATAATCTGAGAAAAGAATTTGCAGGATATAAAGGAACTGATCTAGGCATATTCAGACTTGATGGATAAAATATGCAACCTTTTCTAATTTCAACTGGCAAATATATAATTAAAATTTTATTTGAATGTACAGAAACCCATTGTATTTTAGCCATCTATCACAAACAACATCAGGGTTAAAATTTTGTTAGTACCCAATATATCCTATCATTTGAATGAAATGGCTCAGAAAGGAAAAGAAGAAAGTAAACTTTTTGTACCTCCTAGAACTTGAAGCTAAATCTGAAGTAAGTCACATGTCTCAAAAAAATATTTGTTGATATAAGCATTGGATTCATAACATGACTGCAATCAAATAAGTAAAGTCACCTAGACCCAGCTATTTTGAATTTGGAGAGGAGAATCATGGTCCAAGGCTGGCCACAGGGCACAGTGTGAAACCCTGTCTGAAAACTAGTGTAGAAAAAAGGGGGTGGGGAGAATTTTTAAAAAAAATTTTAAAGATGGGGATATGGCTGAAGTCACATCTGGTACAGCTTCCTCCTACCAAAAAAAAGTCAACTAACCTTTTTAGATAGCTATATATTACCTAAAGAACCAGTCAGTTTGAATATAAAGAAATATGAATGTGTGTCTATGACCTTTTTGAATAGGAAATAGCCTAAGAAAACTGCTCAGTAGCCAAGGTGGCAGAAATGTATGTACATGTGTTTGTGTGTCTGTGTTTGTGTGTCTGTGTACACATGTGCATGTGCCTTAATTTATTCTCATATTCTATAATGTCTTATTTGTAGATACAAGGAAGATCAAGACAAAGGCAAAGCCATACTTTCAGGAAACTAAACAACTGAAAGTTTCTGTCAGACCTAGTTAAAAAATGTTCCCTGCTCCTTGGACAAGCAGCAGCTCATGCAACTTCTGCACAGCAGAATTTCAGAATTCCCAGAAGTCATTGCAGTGTTTCCCATTCTTTCCATTTTTTTACAATAATAGGGTAGGTATTTGAGAGAGACATCTAACTTGTCCTCTTAGCTTAAAAGTTGCTAAAAATGTCACATCTGGATTTTAAATTTATGGTATCACAAGACCTATGCATTATGCATTTATTGTCATAATTGGATTGGAGTTTAGAATTATTTCCTCTGAGGGGCAGTATATTGGCTCTTCTGTGCATGTGTGTGTGTGTGTGTGTGAGTGTGTGTGTGTGTGTGTGTGTGTGTGTGTGTACTATTAAAAATTTTAGGAATGAACTACTTTAGGCATGAACTACTTTAATCTCTGAGAAATTCTAGTTCAGTTTTTGTATTCATTTGTTAAATACTAAAAATGATGAATCTCTCTAGTCTTTACAAATTACTTTGCACCTATAGTTTACTAAGGAACCATGTTTAATAAAACCATTATTACTTGGAACTCTTCCAGATGGGCCCAGTATTCAGGGTATACTGAAATCTTAATTGCTTTGTTACCAGCTCCAGTGAACTAGTCAGAAATTTTATATTTTGCTTCCCATTCCTTCTGTCCAAAGTCTTAGGTCTTACTTTTTTTTACTTGGTTACTCATAGAGACAGTGAATTATAGCATATATTTATAATTGATTATATTGCCAAAAAGTCATTTAATGTTTTACTTACTCTAGTATTAACATAGTTTTAAGAGTTTTCAGGATGCTTTTCAAATGTAGATTTCTGGGTTTTGTTTGTTTAAACTAAAAAGACTGTGCTTTCCTGCACTACTTTTTGTTATAGCTACATGATTCAGCCTTTATTTGGTATAAGACTCACACCAAGTTCACTATTTTTCCTGTGTGAAAAATTCGATGGAACTCTATAGCTACATAAACCTAGTTAAAAAATGTTCTCTACTCCTTGGGTAA